CCCAACCTTCTAATCTATTATCCAAATTCGGTTCTTCGCCAATGGATTCATTTTTGAAAGATGATTCACCCCTGTTTTCTCCGTCGATCAATTTTTTCGTGAAATTTTTTATAGCATTTTTAAAACTTTTTTGTTTTTGACGAGAAAAGCTGTCGCCGCCATTATCGTCAATATTAAGGTTGGAACGATGCTTTCTGTCGTTTGGGAGAAAAACCGAATTGAATCGTTTTCGTTTATGTAAAAATGAGGTTCGATACGGGGAATCTTTGCTGAATCCTTTGGTCGAATCACTTTCCATACCTCCACTATTCTTCATAAACGTTTTCTAATTCAGGGAATAACGATAAATCTGTAGCAAGCAATGTGTACGCGAATATCCTTTTCAATATCATATATCATATGTTTTTTTTTTTAATTTTTATAAATGAATTCGTCAAAAATTGAATCTTAAATTTTTTTTTGTTTCGTTAGGTCAATAAATCAATTAGATTTTTTTTAAAACAAAAATAAAATCTTTTGTCATTTTTTTAGGGCTTATATTTTTTTTTAAAAAAAATTTGAATTATTGTTTTTATATTTTTTAATAAAACATAAAATATATTGATTTTTGTTCTCCAATTTTATAAAAATTATATTTTTATGACAATATTGATTCTATTGATTTTGATTATTTATAACATTTTAAGAAAAAAAATATGAATAATAGGGGATAGATGAAAAAAGGAGGAGGGTTAGGTATATTTTCGAGATCAAATTTATTTTTTCTTTGATATTTTAATTGTATTAATTAATTATAAAAATATATTTAAAAAATTTCAATAACTTTGAAATTTGTTTTTTTTATCGTTCCAATCCAAAACCTCGATATTTTTTTGTTTTTTATTGTTATTATATATATATTATATATATATATATATATATTAAATTTGCATAAGCCACGCCAATTTGTATCTCATAATTTTTTTAAAAGATTTATGCATTAAAATATTTTTAAACTCTAATAAAAAAAAAACTAATAACATACAATAAAGTCAATCTGCATTTCGGAAAAGTCACTAATAATACATGAGATCATTGGTAGGCGCAAGATCAATGCATATATAGATAACAGAGTAGTAGTAACTAGGCATTCTTAATCTCAGCCGTGATGTTTCCATATATAAACTAATTCATAATTCTTGCTTATTCAAAATTTCCAATTTCCTGTCGAATCCGATTGACATGTGCAATTTCTGATCAAAATGTGCAATAAATTTTAGCCAGCCCCTTCCCCACCAAGAATTTCTTTTAGTTACGGCTGTCATATCCAAACTAAAATTGAACATATAAAGTTAACATCTGACATGTCCCCTTTTAGAGGCGGGATGTCATATGTTCGCTCCTAAAAATTGAACACATATAAGCACCTGACATGCCCCCCTTTTAAAGCAGAACGGGATGTCATATATTCACTCCCAAAAATTGAAAATGAAGATAAAAGGTTTTTAAATATTGTAATTCCCCATCTTCGTATCTTCTTTATTTTCGTTGATTTTCACACATGAAAATTGATTTAATTTTGTTGCTTGCATTTTGTGAAAATTAATATATTATTTATTTATAAGTTTTTTCTTTAAAAAAAAGGCATAGAAAACTAAAAAATATTAGATTTTTATCGACAAAATTCATAAAAATGCCATAATTTATAAGTGTAAAATAAAATTGAATTCGATAAAAATAAAATTCTATATATTATACTTTTAAAAAATATTGATCATTTTCATTAAAATATTTTTTGTTGTTATTACATAGAGTTTATCCATATCAAATTCATGTTTGTCGCGAAAAAGAAGTCATATTAGGTTATTACTACCATGGAAGATAAAAATTTCAATTTAAAAAGGTTTGTAATATACATAACATCCCGTAAAAATATGACAGATACATTCTATATTTTAAAAAAACCTATATTTATATATAAAAAAATTATTTATGAAAATAGTATGACTAAAAATAAATTTCTAAAATAAATTGGATTAATAATATTTTTTTTTAAAAAAAGAAAAATGTTTTGGGGTCATCTAAGGGAGGAATGGAGACTTGGCAAGTTAAATTGACAGATTTCTAAAGAGATCTTCTATCGTAGATAAAACCCCTAGTTGGGATCTCGGGTGTCTACAGTTATTTTTCTCCCAGAACTTTTATATAATTGAAGCCTATACTCTAAAGATTCCCAGGATATTGGTAATTATTGACATGTAGCAGTAGTTAACTACATTTGTAATTGTAGTAAAAAAATGTAATACAGTAAACAAATAATTAATAAACTACATTCTGTTACAAAAGTAATAGTTTAGTTCAATTTTATCGAAACTACGGCTACTTTTTACAGATTCAACAATAGATGTGATTTATTTTTATAATTGAAATTTAGATTCGGGTTTTTTTAGTTGTTATTATTGTATTAGAAAATAATTCTATCCTCCATTTATATTACTATATAATTTTAAGATGTGCTTGTTTACATTCTCTTGATTGTAATTTCAGCATGTTAACAAATTTTTTAATTTTCTTGAATCGGACCTGAGAAAATAGGTCTGCTCAAGAGTTCGAATATACGTATGCTAAATTTAAATATGTAGCAATGAACAAAAATTAAGCATTCATAGATTTCAGCCGAAGATTAACAGATTTATTATTCGATTATATGACTATTCGAAAAGGGAATTTGAATCATATAATGAATTAGTCGTATTCGATTTTTTAACGAACCGGATAGTATACTATTCGCATTTGATTGGTATAATTACGAATATTAAACTAATTAATTCGTTCTAATATATTATTCGTTTTAGAATATGAATGATTTACATTTTTTATTTTGAGAGAAATTTTGATATTTATAAATTTGTTTTTCTCCGCTTATAAGCGATACTATATATGTATATATTACTAGAATTCTCTCTGTCAAAATGTGTTTCGCAATGTTGTGACATCTCACCAATATCATATAACCATGAAATTATATTTCTTTATTAATTTTTTAATTTACTTTTTATAAGTTTAAAAAAAAGATTAAAATATAGAACGACTCCCTCGGGGAATGATGTAATTTGACACAAAACACAATATGAGTAATAGTGATATTATTAATTACAAAAAAAAAGATATGATTATTAAGTGATATTTCGATATTTTTATGATAGTAAATGTTTAAAAAAAACTATGATGTAAGATAGCAATTGCGCTGAGTTTTGCAATATAAATATCCATCCGGGTTTATGTATAAGTGAAATTTTCAGCATATTTAACCTACACGGGTATCGTCATACCTCAAAACAGTTATGATTATTGTTCAAATTGACAGTATTCACGATAGAAAATATTGATTAATAATTTTATTTTATTTTAAGTTATTAACTAATCAAATGATAATTTCTTCTAATAATTATTACTTTTATTATTTTTTATTGGTTTACAAATAACAACAGAGATTATTTATATGGTGAGCTAATCTAGTCTTCAATTTAAAATTTTATTCTCCCCATAAAAATTATCTTTTTTATCAACAGCTTAAAATATAGGTAAAAATTGATGGGTGTTTTAGACATGAATAATATTGGTTTCTATGTAATCCTAAAGTTAAAAAAATGTATTTTACCGATCGGAAAAAATATTTATAATAAAAAATTAAACTAAAATTAAAACAAAATTAATCAATATTTTGTTAGTTTTACTGCTTTCATTAATAACCACATTTAAAATACTATAATTTTAAATTTTTTTTTTTTATTCGAAACAAATTTTTTAAAAAAAACTAAAAAAAATTTTTTGATTATTTATGTCTGGTGTTGTTAAACGGCTCGTTTTGAGCCGATTTTTAAAAACGGCTAACTCAATATTTTATTACAAAAAAATATTACGCAAGTCTAAAGATTCTGCTCATAGAAGGAACAAAGGTCTAGACATATATTATCGAAATCTCGAGGTTTAGACAATATTTTTATGGTAAAAATATTGAGTTAGCCGTTTTTAAAAATCGGCTCAAAACAAGATGTCTTATCTCGTAATTAAAAAAATTACCTTTAATATTAACAGCATTTTATCATAAAAAAAGCCAATTTTAAATTTTAGAACAAACATAGTCGAATAAATTAATAGTTGTTGCATATTATTAAGGATTAAAAAAAGCTTTTTATTTTAGAAAGTAAGGGATGTGATTAAATCCAATTATCAATGTGTTCCTTGAGATAATATCAAGTTCATTGCCACAGAACAAATTAATACGTATTGAATTCAAAACGGTATGAAATGATTGAGTTTTTAAAACTATTTATATTACAACAAAAGAGTTGTATATATATATATATAAAATTTAAAGTATAGAAGTTTGAAATGGGGTTTAATCTTATTTTTAAACTTAAGACACAAATTTATCACAAACCTATGGATTGAATAAAGCCAGATCTATCTAAAGGCGACGTAGTGGTGAGAAGCGTAACAATAATGAAATTACATGATCTACACTTGTAGTTAAGATAGCTCGTAAAAAATAAATCCATATGGTTTAAGAGTGAAATCCACCAAGGGTAGATATTGAAAAGAAAAGGTATAATTATAGATTGACTCGTAATATACAGTCTTATAACAACGATTGAACAAAAAGAGGAATCATTTGAACATTGTAGAATTTGATTGGTCAAGGATAATTGTCAAGAAACAAGTAGTTATTATATTTATTTATTATTAATAGCATATTGTATCACATCATGTTTGTGTGCTAGTAAAAAAAAATTGTGGATTAGAGGAAGGTAGGTCCCTGAATGTTATCCTCCAAATTATTTTTTCTCGTATTTACAAAATAATATTTTTAAAAAAAAATCGATCTGATGATTGATGGAGAAAAATTATTCAAATAAATATTATACGAACAATAATTTTTCATTAAAGCAATAAATATGCAAAGTTTTAAAAAGCATTGACATTAGCATAAATAATTATCAAAAGGTATATAAATTTACATTAGTGGATACATCAGTGGGGACATATTTGGGGTATCTTGACAAAAAGAATTTTTGGCTGAGAGACATCTAGAACCATAATTAATCCCCTCTGATCTGTAAATAAACGATTCTCTTCGTCCAGTATTATGGCTGGGAGTATTTGACGATTGGGGCATGTTTGTTCCTCCTTTCCTCCTATCAGTAGAAGAAATTTTGCTCAAGCTGTCGAATCCAAATGTGTTACCCAAGTCACCGGATGATGCGAAATGCTTACAAAAGATGGCCGATGTAGGGGGCTTTAGGTACTGATAAGATGGCCCATTTTTCCTATAAAATAAATTTTAAAAAAGTTTTGATTTTGAATATTATTAGGTAGATTTTAAAAGGTGATTTAAAAAGTTTAAAATTGAAATATGGAAGTAAAACTTCATTGCGAATTCTGATAATTAAGGAGACGTCGCTTGATATTTAATATTTTTTTGTACTGAGTATAAATATTAAATCTGTTGGTTTTGCAATTTTAGGACATCCCAAATACAGATTAATAAACGATAGAAAAGAATATTTTACTTGTGTTATTTTTTTGTTAGATAAGAATAATAACATATTTTGGCTAATATCAACTATTTAAAAATATATAATTTTAAATTAGTATACAAAAATATTTTATTTATCAATATGCTAAATCTAAGGAACCAATAAATATCAAAATTCAGCGTTATAATGGTCATAAATATAAATTATGTATAAGCCATTTTAATTCGTTAAAAATAAAATACTAATTGCCAAATATCGTGTAGAACATTATTTTAAATATGTTTAAAGTGCATAATTTTTTTTTTTTTTAAATACTAAAATTATGAAAAAATCAATAATCTCAAATTCAAATTCAATAATTGAGAATGCTCATTTCACAAAAATTATGTGTATAATAATTCGAGGCGAATTGTAATTATTATACATTTTTTTAAAATTCTTTTTAAGATTACAATTATATAATTTAAAATAATTTTTTAAAAAAATAGGAATCTAATAGAAGTCTGCAAAGCCCAGTCCGCTGTGACCCGTTAAGATTTTTTGCCAGGTCTGATCCTATGCAATTTTATTTTTAATTTGCTCGGCCAGAAAATTTTAAAAAAATGTTAGGCCTTGGCACCGTTAAAGTTTTACGAATAGTCTACCCCGGTCTGTGAAATTTTTTTTTACTAATTTCTAAGCCATAACTTTTTTAAATATCATATCGAATTTTTTTTTCCAATATCAATTAAGGTATACTTATATCTCTCCTCTATGGCAATCTATTTCTACAACAACCGTTTTATAAATCAATTGTGTTGAATATCTGTAGAGTGAATTTGTAATTTGAACCATATCATAAATAAACTGTTTAATTTTTAATTATTCATTTTCTGATAGAATTTAAAATAATAAAAAAAATATTGCAATCCACCATTTAAATTTCATGACAGGCTAGGGAAATATTTATGCAAATTTTCGTCAATGAGAGATCTCCAAGGAAAGATAAATATTGACATTTCAGTTTCTCTTATTTGATAAGCAGCTTTATGATCATAATCACGATATCCCAAAATGAAGAATATGGTTGAGTCATGGCAAAAATCGGCTAATTAATCTAACAGGCGCGTGTCACAAACAAAATCTGGTAAGAGCATTGAGGAGCGACTTTAATTTTATTATTTGTATTTATAAAAACTTTGAGGGTTAGGTGAAAGTTCTAGACTAAAAAATTTGACCTCATGTTGCGTTTGCAAGCGCGATTTACATAAGCGATGCGAAAATCTTGGGTTACGTAATTTACAAAAGCAAGCAAATAATATATATGAGCTAAGCGATGAAATCGCTATGATAAATTTTGAAAAACTTTATCGTTTTGCGAATAATTGTGTCGTCTGAGCGAATCGCGCTTACTATAAACGAGGCTTTAGTCATATTTTAAATAGGCTATTAATCAGCTAAACGGCTAGAAATATAACAATTACCCAACTATAGAAATGAATCTTAAAAAATAGTGTCATAAATGAAGTTATTTCAAATTAATTTGCTTTGTTCCTTTAAATTATACAGCAATTAATCGATGTCTAGAGAAATCAAGGCGGTAATTTAAAAAATGTTTTAGGCCCTGTCCGATTAGTAGATATTTTGGCCTGGCAGTAAATCTCTTTGTCCAGCCTATATAAAAAAAAATTCTGCAGAGTATTTAAGGTTTTAAAAACAGGTGCCATTGTATAACCTATCCTAGTTTAAACTATTTTATACATTAGTTATAACATTTAATTAATAACTGTCACTGTTGCACCTTTAAATTTTTTTTTATTAATTATCTAATTTGTTTCAGCGATATTAAAACAAAAGCAATATATATTGTATACTTCGGGGCCCGTGCGTCGTTATTACAATATTGGACAATATTTTTTTAAAAAAATAATATAAATGAATATACATGCAGATAGGTTATCGATGATTGAAAAATTTTCCATATTTCTATCCCTATTCATCTTTCCTTTTCCTTCCACTTCCTTCCCTTCCCCCCTCCTTCCAATAAATTATATGGGTTCTAAATTAAATTATATTCATTATTTTAACAATTATCGGAATTATATTATAAGCTAGAGGATTAGCGTCGTTTAAAAAGTCATTTAAAATTATAGTAATTAAAGAGAATTTTTTTTTTAAAGTATAGATTATGTAAAATAATTAGATATTATATTTATTATATGATGATAAAATAAATGCTAATAGAAATTCATTAGACATGATGTATATAATTAAATCCAGATTTTTTAATTAAAAAAATTAATTACTTTTAAATTTCTTTCAAATATAAACAAAAAATTGTTAAAGTGTATGTATGATTCTAGTGAAAAAGATATTTTTATTACTTTTAAATATTATGTATATGAAAATGTTTGGAAATTTATCGATTAAATGATGTCTATGATAAATCTTTTTTTCTTCTTTAAATCCCTTCAAAGATAATCTAAATAGGCGTGAAAGGAAAATGAGAATAAGAATATTTAATTTTTATAAATAAAAGATAGCGATATCTATCCGTCTATCCTTAAGTTTCCTAATTTTACCAAAATTGAAACTATCATTTTTGGATGTAAAGGGGGAAAAAATTATTAATTTATTATAACAGGGACCTGACCCGGGCCAAATATTTTAAAACTAAATATTTTAAATCGCCATTATTTACTATGATAATTAAAAATATATATAATATTTTTAAAAAAAAATTCCGGGCCCCGCACTAATGGTACCTCTGCAGGTCTCTGAATAATGTATGAAGATGGGTCAGATTAGAATCATGAACAAGGATTATTTTATAATGGTTATGAATAATTAAAGATGATGGTGTAACACATTAACCGTCTATATCACAATAAATGTATAGTAATGTGGATTAGCAATCTTATCCGGAAATCTCATTTGAGGGGTCGGAATCTGCCAATTTTAAATCATCTAATGAGAGGGTGATTTTTTTTAAAATTTAATTATTACAAGAAATATTCTCAGTTTGTGTAGAATTATAGGATTGTTAGCCACGATTTCAGCCAATTTTTAAAAATGGCTAACTCAATATTTTATCAAAAAAATATATATTAGGCACACCTGATAATTTAGCTCATAGGTGGCAAAAGGTTTGCATTGCACATCTATTAGCAAAATCTCGAGGCCTAAGCAATATTATTCTAAATATTGAGTTAAAAAGAATAGGCTCAAATCGAGCCGTTAACCAACACTAATTCTCATTTATGTTGTGTTTTTTCTTTTTTTTTAATTTATATGAAAAATACAAATAACATTCATTCAAAAATTCTGAAATTCAAAAGGTATAGATGCTCTTACACATGCTAGAATATATTTCCTGTAGAATCAGATACATTTTTCACATTTTAAAAATTGCTCTAACAAAGGATTTAAGATTGAGAAATTCAGAATCCACACATATTCCGAAAGAGAACAAAACTTACTAATATATATATATATATAATATAACTCATTTGTCTATTTTTTTTATTAATGATATAATTACAAAAAAAAATACTTGGTTTTCAAAACAATTTGACAATGATGTTGACCAGATAATTATTAATAAAAAAAAAGGTGTTCTAATATTGCAAATTAAATTTAAAAAATTTTAAATTATTTTTTTTGAAAATTTTTTTAATAATATAATCACTTTCTAGGAATTATTGTATAATAATTATTATTAATTTGTAACCATGCACTTACTTATATTGATTTTATAGTTGTGATAAAAAAAAAATTGTTATTATAGTCAGGAATTTGGAAAATAAATAATTAATAGATTATTTTAGAGCATAAATATTTTATTTTAAGTTATTTATGGCTCATACTTATCTTTTTTATCAGTAATTGCCATCACAAAATATTTGGCTATAATAAAAAATCGAAATGATTTCATATAAATGATACAAAAATTCATTATTTTAAAAAATAATTTAGCCAATTTTATAACCAGTTATTTATTATTATTAAACCACGCCACCTTTATTTAAAGAATTGAGAGAAGGAAAATTGGTTTAAAAATATAATTTAATTGTAATATCAGTTTCCTGAATTTCGTGAGTAATATGATATGTTGTAGAATATAATTGTTTCTTTTTTTTTAAATTTTGAACAGAATTTTAAAATCATTTTATTTGTAAAATCCTTTTTATTTTTTAAAAAAAAAACAGCTGAAACCATAATTTTTCGATGGTCAAAATTGCAAGATTATAAAAATATTAGCAAAAAATGAAAGCTAAATGTATTCTAAAACTACCATTGATTATAGTCAACATCAATGAACGGGGAGGGGGGGGGACTATTGAATCCAAAATATTTTCTTTGGGCGAAATGACCAAAACAAGCGTGTGTTTATTGAAAATTGTTTTATATTTCATAATATTGAATATTTTATCAGATTAAGTAAAAATGTATTAATAAAATATATCAGAGACCTGCGGAGATACCATTTGCAGGACCCGGCCTGGCCCGGAAAAAAATAATAAATTTGTCCGGGTTTTATATTTTCAGACTCAGCCCAGATCTATTTAAAATATATTTTTCATTTTTATACCCAATCATGGCGATTTAAAATATTTGGCTTTAAGATATACCACCCAGCCCTAATCATCTGGTTTTATTTTTCAAATCTTTAGATAAGAGATAAGAAGATGAAAAAAAATTTTTTTGGATAGTTGTAAATTTAAGTATGAGGTGGGAGAATCCTTGCTCTAATTTTTCTTATTCGTCAAAACAGCTGATGTTTACCCGAATCACATTTTCTAAACAATAGT